TCTAGAAAGCGGGCGTCGGTGCGTGTGGGTAGGAAGGAAACATTATGACAGGAGCATTTGGGCTTGTTCCCTTCTAGTATCTGGAAACAAATATCAATCAGACAAATCCCTCTCTCGGGCTGCTGGCGTTTTTGAGTCTTTCCATTTCGACGGTGTCTCCCTTTAGTCTGCCCTCTTTCTGATATCATCCTCCATTGTTTCTTTTGGATCGAGCGGGATATTATAGGCGGCAAGTCAACGCTGTTGGTCTTGACACACGACAACCGCCCTTTGGTGAGTACATCTCAGAGATCTGAGACGCCAGAGGAATCGGATTCTGAGCAATTCCATACTGACATCGATTCTCTTAACGTGGACAATAGTCGAACCTTGTTCCAACTCCCAATCCTCTACATATAGGGTTGCAGCTGGAGATCAAAACCTGCAACGATCAATGCAAGTTACGACTCGTACTCATTGATTGAATCTGATTATCAACTCTGGCGCCCAATTGCGCAACAGGTCCTTGTAAGTCGGCTCTTTTGTGTCTCTGTCTCCTCAGCCTCTTTGTACTCTTTATCTCCGCGCGCCTTTTTCCTGTGTTCCGCTTTCTTTTGCGGTGTTGGATTTCTGTCTCGCTTGTATTCGTCGGCTCCCTATACAACAACGTATCTTATCCTCAGTCGATATGCACGTTTTCACTTGTCCTTCCGGAACCCCTGTCATATGGTCTCTCTGGGTCTCATGGTGGCTCTGATGCTTTTCCTGCCAAAGAATTGGTTCCCATCTCCTTCACCACACAACTACCTCTCTAACCCATCCGCAAGTGTCATGCTGCATAATGGTTAGTCGTCGCCGAGAGCGACGACACCGTGCAATGCCGAGAACACTAATACACCTGCGCATTGTTGTTGTTTACTTTTTTGATTTGTTTCTTACGTGCGCCTCTAGTGTTTTCTTTCTTTCTTTCCCACCTCTTTCTAATTACTCTTTCCTCTCCCAACCCCCATGCCCAGACTTTCCAGTATAGGCTCTGATATTGAGGCGCTAGCTACACTTCTATCTGTTTCAGATGACCAAGACCTTACCAAGCACATTTGTTCGTTGGATCTCTTTCTTTTCCTGCCTCTTTTGCGCCGCGACGAGACTCGGTCGTGGGCCACGGGAACTGACAGGGCTTTAGAACCACGTCGTCTGCGCCAGCCCGGGTCTTTGAGGCACGACACCTCCGCATCAGAGACAACTGTCGTGATTTCTCTTTCCTCATCTTTTTTTTTCCCCATTTTACTTTGCTTTTCTTTTTTTACAAGCCTCCAGTCTTGGAGCCTAATGAAAGAGCCGCCCTAACTTATCTTCCGGCGTCGCCCTTAACTATCTAAGACACCCCTGCTCAGCACCATTGAAAGCCTAGTGTTCCTCTGGTCGTCTCTATAGCGCTCGCTCGAATCGGGCTGGACGACAGAGTATCCTTGGCGGATTTGGACTGACAGCTCGCCTCTTGTGTCATCCGACTCACGGCCTTACCCTTCTTTTTTTTGCTTTTTCCTCTCTTTCATTCCTAATGAATCACTGTAAGTCATTTCTTTTTTGGTTTCTTTTCTCTTGTTCATTCCCTTTTGCGGGTTGTTCCATGTTTGTTCGTCGGGCGTTCTACCAAATCCCTTCAGCCTGCAATTCGATAGTCGCAAAACCCGACGGCAAGCCATCTCCATATGGAGTTACGGTCTGTCATCCCAGGAGCTTGGTACCTCAAGCTTCTTGCTTTGGTTGCACGATATAGAAGGAGAAAGTGGTGGAGAAGCGACAGGACAATTAAAAACACAGGGGAAAAGAGAAGGAAAGAAGAACTACGTCTCCTCGCATGGCCTGAGATAGTATCAAGGAGCACTGTATCCTTCAAGGGACGACAAGGATGTCAAACCTATTCTATTTCGGACTGACGATGCCCCGACATCTTTTGTGTGACTCTTTTCTTGTTGATTTCTTTTTTTTTTTTTTTCCCTTTTCTCCTTTTCTTTTTCTTGTTTATGCATTTATTTTACTTCATTTTTGTTTTCTTTTTCCGTTTTTTCCCGTCTTCAAGTTTGACCTGATGGTATATCTTTGTCAAAGTACCCTCTGTTCTAACAATCGTTTACGTTCCCAGCAACTCTCCTGCAGAGTTCATTCCAGCTGGACGGTCCCCTCCACAGCGACAACGACTATTCGGGCTCCCAGCGACAATTCCCTGGTCCGATGGGGTTTTCCATGGATGAGGAGGAAAATCATCGCCGAGGAAATGCTGTGGGCCATCCTCTGGCACAGCCAGTTTCAGTGCCTGCGACCAACGGCCTGCGCTACAACACACAGCAGCCTGCCATGCAGGATCTCCCGTAAGTTGTCTTTCAATTTGGACGGTTTCCTGGTGCTCCACTTGGCCCGCTTGCAGCCACTAGTACACAGTATTCCCTTCTAGTTCGGACAACAACAACACCTCGATCATTTGGGCAAATTCTCTTTTGTTCCTTTTTTTAATTATTGAATTTTTGATGTTTTTGTGTTTCTCAAGAGGGTCATTTAATTTTCAACGTTCTTTGTCTTCCTTTTGGTTTTGTTTTATACCACATTGAACTACTTCCCCCTCCCCCCTTCCAAATCCACTTGCATGCACGCTCCTCTACACTTTAGTCATGTTATTCCATCATTCAACATGCGCCTGCAAATACTAGCCACCCAGGACACCTCGGTCCATTTCATATGTTGTGTACTCGTTATGCATTGGGGAATATTTGATTTATCTTGTCCTTGCTTTACTCTCCCTCCGTGGCCAGTTGGGATGTCTATTTTTGGTCGAGACCGCTTGCTGATCTAGAACGGCCCCAGCTTCGCAACGTCTCCTACAATCCTCATGAGCCCAGCGGACTCTGGATGTTCCGGTTGGTTGCCCAATTCAGGCCCTTCTATGCAAACTGCAAGGCTGACATGTCCATAAAATGGGATTGGCGTTCGTTAACAGACACCTTCTCTCCCCCATCTAGCTCTCTGTACTCGCATTCGTCGGCACTATCGTACGATAGAATGCCTGACTTCAGATCTCACAGGGTTCCTCCACTGTAAGTCAAGTCAAGTTTCTATCCCCCCGGTTCTGTTGGTGATGCAGCGATTGACCATGACATTATTTAAATCCTATAGCCAACCACCTACGGGCATGTCTCCTTCCGTCCAATCTGGAAATTCGGCGGTCTCCGGAAATTCGGCGTTTGGAAGAACAGATACCTACCCAGGGACCTACACCCTCCACCGGGGAGGTACATTCCCATCGCTATCGAGTCTCAGCGATATGTCGCGGATCTCCCAATTCACCACGACCCCACGCGGGCTCGAGGGACACCTGGACCGTGCTCCCAGTATGATCTTCGGTCAGACGGGCCCGATGTTGATGGACCCCATCCAGCGTATCTCGCAGCCGATTACGGACGCACCGCCTTTCAGCGAGACCACGGTTATCCACTCAATCATGGCGGGTGGCCAGACCATCAAACCGGAGATCACAGCCAAAATCCACAAAGGATTCTTTCAGGCCGAAGAAAAGTGGACGTGCTACCGACGCAATTACTTTTCGGTTTCTTGTTCGTTCACGCTACAACCGTGGACACATGCACCTCTCTTCGTCAAGCTACCGGACCATCAAGGAACCGAACGCATTCTGTCGTTCTCCATGTGCATCTCGGCCATTGTGAACGGACAGCATGGGGAGATCCGGGAACTCGTTCAGCACACCCCGAAGCGCGATAAGCAATCCGAGCGCAAGCCAGCCAAGGTGGTCCTGCAGCCATTCCAGCCGCCTCCGTTGGTTCTCGGCCACGGCTCCGCACCCAATAGCGCCCAACACGGATACGGGCTAAGCTCCCAGGCCCCCGGGATGCCAATGGACTATAGCACCTCCTACGCCAGCGCACCGCAGCCATCCCAGCCACCGACCCAGCATACGTTCGAGCGCATCCAGTTCCAAAAGGCGACGGCAAACAACGGCAAACGTCGCGCACAGCAGCAGTATTACAATCTGGTCGTCGAGCTTTACGCACAGATTCCCAGTCCGATGGGCGGGAGCGCAGACGCGCAGTGGGTCAAGGTAGCCAGGAAACTTTCGCACCCAATGGTGGTCCGCGGACGATCCCCGGGCCATTACAAAGACGGCCGGCGAGACAGCTCGACCAGCATGGGCCCAGACGGCGGGAGTGGTGGCTCTGGCGATGGCAGCGGGGGCGCTGTCCTACCCCCAGGCATCGGACAGGCGGCACGGTCTCACTTGACCCTGATGTCGTACGACTCATCGCAGCGCGGTGGGCACCAGTATGGCCGCGCTGACTACCACCACCAGATGAGGGCGCCAGACCAATCGTCCCTGAGCGGCAGCAGTCCCCATATCTCATCCTCGTCATCATCTACCTTCGACATTGGGAGCATTCACGACACTATGGACCCAATTGAGCCCATCAAAAGTACCCCTAGCATGGATGAATCATTCCACGACCCGACTTTTGCCATGATGGACGGCAGGAAACACGACGTCCACTTCCGCAGTCACCTCCCGCCCCTTGCTTTTGAGTATGATACCGTATCCAAGCATAGTGAAGAGCCGAGCAACGGCTTTTCCGAGAATTTCGACATCATGGTTACGATGCCGCCAGAACAAAGTGATTCTCCGGCTTTTTTTAAACAGCCTCCCAAACTGGCTTCCCATGGACTCCACCATTATTCCGGTGCTGGAGCTTACGATCCGGTTTACTCGACCCGGCCTGCTGAAGGCAGTATGCAGAGCCGGCTTCAAAACTCCCAAAGTCTGTGCGCATAGGTCTTTTTGTGTTTCTTCCGTTACCCTCTCATTTTCTTTTTTCCCTCTCATCTCCCTCTCGTCGAGCTCAAGTCCCGATTACTCAGTTGAAAAGACTCTCTCTCATCTTCTGGTCTCCTTGCTTTTTCCTTCATGTCGTCCGTGATTTACGCGTCCTTGGCCAGATGAAAAATGAGACGGCGTCTTTTCAGTTCGCATTATTCGATTTAATTGTTTTAAAACATAGATTTTTCGACGGCATCACCAGGCTGAAAGATGCATGAGAAAAGTGATGTTCCTTTCTTTCTTTCACTTTTTTTTTTCTTTCCTTTTTGAGGCTATTCATGCTCCATTCTTGCCCCATGTTCATCCCTGGTATCATTTACTTTCAGGTTCGTTTTCTGCCCTCACCTTCATACAATTCTCACCTCTCGCCTCTGGAAGGATGTGGTGATGACACGGTTTTGCTCTCCTTAATCCTTGTTGATTCTGCGTTTCGTTCTTTTTGCAATTTCGTTTCTGGCCTTATCTTTCCTTTCCTTTTCTTTTCTTTTCCTTGTTATTCTAGTTATTCAGCCCCAGATGACGTGTAAACGATTTTTCTTATTGTGCCATGTTTGACGGATGACCACTCAGTGCCCGGGTAACCTACCGCTGTCCTGGGCAAGGATGGTTATCGGCACGGCGAAAACACAGTTCTTTCTTTACCCTTTTCCTTTTTTGTTTTTTTTTTTTGCTTTTTGATTCTTATTACATGTCAAGTTAGAGGCACATGTAATGAGCGGGAGAGAGAGAGAGAGAGCGCGCAAAAAAAAAAATACAAAAAGAAGAAGAGAAAAAAAACCAGGAGAAAGACCAAAAAAAAGAAAGAAAGAAAGAAAGAAAAAACCACTGGGGCTTCGGCGATAGTGTCATTGGCCCTGTACTATGACTATTTTCTCCGACCCCTCCTCCTCCCCTCGAGGGAACAAGATCAAGGAAAAGCGACAGGGGGGAGGACTGAGCGGAGGAGGCGTCTCTTTCCGCTGTCAGTTGGGGCAAATGTGAGTGTATGTGTTATGTTAGTCTGGAGTCAGTCAAATCAGTCAGTCAATCAGTCAGGTTTTATGGATTACTGTTGTGGGAATCTGCAAGTAGACGCAGACCTAGGGCTACCTGCAGGACGAGTGGGCCTATAATTTGATCCGGACAGTCGCCAGTGGGCTTTTATCAGGCTGCAGTGCAGTGCACCTCGGGGAGGTCATCCATGGATTTGGATTAGTGTGGAGTCAAAGCGAAGCACAGCAACTGCTCCTCCACACTTGGGTGAGGCATTAGCTGCAGGGAAGGAAAGGAAGGTATTCTGAATAGATTAACTGAAGATGAAGATTAAAATGAAAATCAACACACGAGATAAGAATCCAGGATTGAATAATAATAACAAGCCAAATGAATAAATAGATAATAATAACAATTATGATAATAATAATAATAATAATAATACAAGATCAACAACCTGAAAGAAATCATGAAATTAAGGGGAAAAGAAAGAAAACATGAAGCTGAAGTGGTGTGGGTCACGGTTGGATCCGGTATGGCGGTCGGCCAGCAGCCGTCTTCTTCGGGGTCGGTGCGCTCGCTCGCTCACCTCCTTTTCTCTCTCCTCCTGTCTGTATGGAACTATGGAGTACTGGATAGGAAAGTGGGGACCTCTCTGTCGTTGAGTCTTTGGGACATGACTTGTCTGTCTTCTTTTTTTCTTTTTTCTTCTTTTATCTTGTCTGTTTTGTTTCGGTTTGGTCTTTCGACCCTTGAGAGCTTCTACTATACCCTCAGCTCCACTTCACCCTATCCACCACTACTGCATCTCTCACCGAGATTACCTGGATCCAATGACAGTGGCGAAACCATTGGACTCAGCTATCCAATTCAGTCTCTGTTTCCCAGCGGACAACGACGTCAAAAGGAAGATACACTAAGATGATCGCCGTGGGACCGGCCCATCACGATCGACCAAACATGCATTAGGGCCGATTCTCCTGGGTGGCTGACTCAGCTATGTCCTAGTGGTCACTGGTTGCAAATCCAACTAGCGCCCTCGGCACGTTCCGGCCATCCCAGACGGTACCGGTTCATCCTCGACTTCAACCTTGCCGGGGCTGCGTGACTGCAGTCCTTCGTGCCCCTTCCAAAGTTGTCCTTGGGTGTATTTCGACTCTTCCGGGAATGAAGGGTGACATCGCTGTCAATCTTCAGCTGCATCTGCATTTCTGATATGTTAGGAGAACTTTTCCATGCTTTACCCGTTTTCCAGGGTCGACGACTCGACAGACAGCTAGCTCATTGATCCCCAGCAGATAGATTCCATCACTGGACCAGTCAAACATGCATGGAGGTCTAAAGGGGTCGGACCAGGTACACCTCTCTCTCAGCTGATCGATAATGCATCTGCCTCCAAAGGTTTCCCAAAATCACTGATACAAACCGGCTGTCGCGGGTTGGGGGGGAGGGAGGAAGGTGTGCGTGGGCGGGTCCACGCAGGCAATGTCGATGCAATAATAACCCCCTGGAATGGTCCGCCATGCATGTCGTACAAGGGGGAAGGACGTCGACCCAAAGATGTCAGTGGGGTGAGAGACCTTCTTTCTGGTCGGTGGGGGGGTGCATCATTCGACTGGAGAAGGCGGCCAACAGGAAACAGGAAAAACGTCGTGGTGCAGGTATTCCAGGGAGATTGTGCAACGGTTGCAGTCCCACCGTGCCGACGGGGCACCTGGCAAAGCAATACGGGTGACACCCTAGTCGGTTCTCGAATCAACGCGCAGGACAAGGCCCACCCTCTGATTGATCCTCCGCGATATCCACTGATACGCCTGCCCTTGAGAAGTCACTTCCAATCCTGAAGTCCGCCAGGATGTCGGTCTTCAACCCACCCTCATTCAGCGTCCACTGAGGACGACCCATGTCCTGCTTCGTGTCGTGGACTCGCCGGACGATCGGCATCTCATGGAAGACCGTGGCTGTCTGAACCAAGACAGAAGAAGCCGGGAGCTTGATAGCCCCGTGCGTCGGGTCTACGAAACCAGATTCATAAATCTTTTATGTCGTCACCGGATTTCATTCGAAGGCTATCAGAGCGGATTTCACCCAATAACCGCCTTCTTTCAAACCCTTGCTCAGTCGGCCATGCCGAGCCGTCTCTCCGCCCCCTCGATGTCTTTGTTTCTTTCTTCTGTTGCAGGGAATTTCCTACACATCCAGCATGGGTGCTATCGCCCTTCGGCCATCGCCACCTCACGCATCCCGGTCTTGCGTGCATTGACCTACGTCCCGTTTCACGAAACGGTCCTCGGATGCTGTGCTGCGCCAACAAACTTCTGACAAACCCACCGCACGCGATGACCGACACGACGAGGGATTCTTGGAAGGGTACCTGCTCCACGTCCAAGGCCCATCTCTGTATCAGGCCTGTCTGTATCAATTGGCCTCGGTGGCTTGGCGCGCGCATCTTCAACTCCCCCCTGGTCCTCTTTCGCCTGCCTGGTCTCTTTCACCCCCCTAGTCCTCCCTTGCCCACGCCTTGACACTCACCCACCAGCCAGCTAGGCCGGATCTTTCGGGTAGCACAACAAAGCATGTAGTCACCGCCACCAGCCAAACCATCCAACCAAACGCAACAAACCCACAAAATCCCCTCAAAGCACAACGATTAGTCCATAACTCAAATAGAATACCATAACTCAAATCCTTAGAATAAAATTGTCAATAACCAGCCCATCCATCACCATCACCAGTCAGATCCCACAATCACTTCCCCTCCTTCTCAACCCTAGACACCCGGAGCGCCAATTTCCGATCCAGCTCCTCCTGCTCCGCCGCCGTGGCCTTCATCCCCATTACGTCCTCCACCTGCGGCGACATCCAGAGTCCAATCGACGCCCAGGCCATGAGGCCCACTCCGAACAGGGCGCGCGTTTTGGGCGATAGGGATCGGTAGGAACTAGACGGCGCGAGTGTCAGATTGGTTCTTTCTTTTTCTTTCTTTGAGTAGATTTGCTCCGGTTTGAGGTGTAGACAAGGGGTCAGGATGGACAGACCTCCAGAATGACATTTTGTTTTCCCTTCCCTTTTTCTGCTTTGTGTTGACTACTTGGAGTGGTGTGGTGTGGTGAATGGCGGCGCCGTGCGACAGACGGTCACTGCGCAAGTCAAGGCGCCGTGGAAATCAGGATGGGAATCTTAAGCTAGACTAGGAAGGGCTTAGTCTGGTTATGGTGCCAGGATGGGTAGGTGGGAGACCACCGCCTGTACGGATTCTGCCGGGATTATTGTCTTCCGCTTTGCTTGTTGTTGGTGGATTGTGCAGCAGAGGTACAGTGTAGTAGGACTGTCTCGCTCATCAGGGGATAGACCGGACTTGGTCAATGACGACTACTGATGTCTGTTTCAATCATATATTGATTTCTGTGTTGACTTACGTGGTATGACATCTCGACGGAGCAAGACGTTCCATGACCAAGACCTCAAGTAAATGTTCATGGAGAGGATATATATATACGTTTTGTCAATTATATAGGATTCCAAAGCAGAATGAGCAATCCCAACTTCTATCTAATTAATTTCCAGGGGCAAAAAAAAGAAGAAAACAGATCCCCTTTAGCGACCCACCAGACAACAGACAGACAGACAGACGGACGGAGAAAGCAGCCCAGGGCGTACAAAACCAGACGCACAAACCAAGACGTACAGAACCAAGTCAAGCCGAATTAAGCTTTCAACAGACACACCAGCCTTCCGCCCCTGTCTTAGATGTTGTTCTTTGTCTGTCCTCGTGGGAGGCTTGTATCACGCAGAGACTGCACGAGTTACTCCTGGGGTCCTGGATTGATGAAGGCATGGATTACAGTGCGTTTTGCTGTGGCTGGATTCAGTTCCATAACGCACGTACCAAGAAGGAATAGAAGAGTTCAGTGTGTCTGGATGTGGCTGCTGTTGCTGCCATTGGGATGGTCAATGCTGTTTTTGTTGAGCGTGCCTCGATTGTCTGTTGTCGCATGGTTCATTGGACTTGGAATGGTTCGAGGATAAACGAACACGACCTGGACTGGTCTGCCTCTCTCCCTTTGGCCGGGCAAGAGATCAGTGTCGCATTTCCATTGTAGCCCAATCACCATTCCCCAATCATTATCCGTTCATTCGAGCTAGATAGGTATTCGGACAGCTCTCCAAGCTCGCACACGACGAACAGACATGAAGGATTGCAGACTGGATATAAGCCACCTAGGTTAGATACGATACAACATATGAACTGACCAAGTCTATTTGTTGACGTCAAACTTTACTGCAAACCCAAACATGGGTTTGTTTGCATTCGACAATATAGAGTAGTCGAGTACCGAGTACTACTATCTCAGTAGACCAGTCAGTCCCTTAGGTACTTAACCCACACGACGAAGACCAACCCAGCTTCCCCAAAACTACAGATAAACCAAGATAAAAAAACACAAACAATCCTAGCTCCCCCCAAAGTAACATACATACATATAAATTATTTAATAGGGAAGAAAAAAATATACCGACAGCTGCAGGATTCGAACCTGCGCTCACGAATGAACGGGATCGCAGACGTGTAACCGTATTACTACGGTCGGTGTATAGCAGTCCCGCGCCTTAACCACTCGGCCAAACTGTCTGAATGATGAAGAGATGGTACTTTCAGGAACTTATATTCGACTGGTTAGTTTTGTACCGGCGCTGGATGAGGTTTATACTTCTTGATTTATCTACTTAGGTATTCTCTACATTATTTTTATAAATTATAAGATATAGAGAGAGAGAGAGAGAGAGAGAGAGAAAGAGAGAGAGAGAGAGAGAGCGAGATATATATATATATATATATTACACCGTACTACTGGGCGCAATCCTCTCTAAAAGGTTACTCGTTCGTACGTCGTTACTTTATGGGTGGTAGATTGCGTCTACAAGTGTCACAGCATTCGACACGATATACAGAAGTACATAGTCCGTACATTATGTGCCAGGGCCAGTCGTACAACACGCCATTACTCTAGTCAATGGGATCTATCAGAAGCCCGACTGCATTGTCTGATAAGGTACAAGGCATGAGGTGTGGATAGCTATCCATCACTCGGAATCCAACTAGTAAATGGTACCTACTTATATACAACCACTAAATGAGTCACATCTACCAGGTAATTAACATGTAGTCTACCCTCTAGATACCCACGTACGAGTAGCATAGCCTACGTAATCAAGCAATCAATCACTCATCGTTATATTCTCTACTGAGACAAGATAAATAGTACATTCCAGGTCCATGGGCAGAACAGCACACAGCACACCCAAAGGAACAATTTCAATGCAAAAGGTATAACGTAACTAAAGATAGGTTTCGAGGCTGCAAAATCAAATCAAAAGAAAAGGATGGGAATCAAGATCAAACCAAACCAAGGAAAAAAAAAAAACAGAACAGTGCGTAAAAAGCATAATTTGAACAGTACGTTAGGTTAGGGCTGGTAAAGACGGTCGTTTATTTCTTGCCATATGCGCGGTCAATGTCCTTCTGGAAATGGCCGACGATCTTCTTGCGCTGGAGTTTCTGGGCTGCAGTCATGTAACCCTGTTGGGATAGTTAGCGAGTGATCTCAAACAAACGTCTGAATTGAACAAGCAGATAAAGAGGGGAGGAACGGGGAAAAACGTACAGTCTGTGGCGTCCACTCCTCGTCGGACAGAACCACACCGCTGACAATCTCAATACCCCGGAGACCGCCCGCACGGCCGGCATTCTGAAGCTCCTGGAGGACGTACGACTTCAGCTTCTCGTTGTGAACCAGCGTTTCCAGGGTCTCGCCCGGGATGTTCTTCTCGCTGGCAAGCTTCTTCAGGGCGGCCTCGACGGGCACGATGATGGCGACCGGCCGATCCTGGTCCTGGGCCGCGAAGACGCAGATGTTGCCGACAATCGGGGAAGATCGGTAGACCGACTCAAGCTTCTCCAGCGCGATGTATTCGCCGTTCAGCGTCTTGACCAGGTTCTTCTTCCGGTCGATGATGCAGAGGTGGCCGTACTTGTCGAATTGACCAATGTCACCCGTCTTGAACCAACCGTCCTCGGTGTACGCGGCCTTGGTCTCTTCCTCGTTCTTCCAGTAGCCGCTCGACACACCACCGCCGCGGATGAAGATCTCACCCTGCGGGGGGTTGTTCTTGGCAAAGTAGCCCGCATCGGGGAAGTCGACGAGTTTGATTTCGATCGAGGCGGGAATCTCACCCAGAGCGTCCGGGTTCCAGGCCATCGGGTCGTTCAGCGCACCCATGGCAGTGGTCTCCGTCAGGCCGTACCCGCTGATCATGGGGGCGATGCCCATGGACAGGAACCGCTGGGTATCCTTGGAGATCGGACCGCCGCCGTTCATGAAGATGCGCAAACGGCCACCAGTCGCCTCCCGCAGCTTCTTGAAGACCACCGAATCCAGCACCCACGCGCCGAGATCCGAGCCGGGGACGCCCGTCGCCATGAGGAAGTTCTTGGCGGACATGGCGCCCCAGAACATGCCCTTGACCAGGAAGCTGCCCTTGTTCAAGTTGCTGAGCACACCCTTCTTCACGGACTCCCAAACCGCCGGCACGCCGACCAAGATCGTGGGCTTAAACTCTTTGATGTCGCCGCTGCAGTTCCGCATCGAGGCATCCGACAGGGTGCGGGGGTTTCCGTAACCCATGGTACCACCCCAGAAGAGACAGACGTTCTCGAACATGAATTCCAGGATGTGGGATTGCGGGAGGTAGGTGAGCAGAGAATCGGAAGGACCGATGTAGGGTCCGACAATGGCCTGAACACCGGCGGCTATAAACATCGTTAGTCTGTACCACCCGGGAATCCAAAAAAAAAAAAAAAAAATCCATGCAGTGAGCTTACCGGAGGCAATAACGTTGCCCTGCGTCAAGGGAACCCCCTTGGGAGGGCCGGTCGAACCCGACGTGTACATGATGCAGCAGAGGTCTTCGGGGGTGGGGGGGACCGGATCTACCGGGTTTTCCTCGCCAAGCTGTCGCAGCTCCTCGAAGCTCATCACGTTCAGGTGCGGGAATTGCGACTTCAAACGGTCCAGATCCTCCTGTTTGTGCTCCAGGTGGCTGTTGTAGATGACATGCTTGATGGACGTCGCGTCGGCGAGGACGTTTGCCACCGAGGGAATGAGGTTGGGGTCACAGAAGATGCCATCACTCTCCGTCTGTACCATGGAGTGTTTGAGACCATCCTCACCCAAGGTATCATACGCGGTGACCACCGTGATAGACTGGCACGCAGCTCCTACAAGAAAAAAGACAGTTAGTTGCCGTTCGCGCGCAGCAAGTGTAAGAGAGGGGATACGAACCGTGTGACATCGCCAGCCAGTTCTCACTACACAAGAACAACAAACGTTAACGCCACGTCCAACTTCTCATCCACGCCCATCGGGTAGACTCACCTAGTTGCGCCAAAAAGGTGGACGCGGTTACCCTTGGCCAAGCCAATCTTGCGCAGACCTTGGCCCAGCTGCAGCGCCAGTCGCTCGTACTCGATGAACGTCTTATACTCATAGCCGCTCATCTCATAGTAATTCCATTGCTTGTCGACCTCCTTCTCGACACCATCGACCACCTTCTTGATCTTCTTGTTCTCCGTGTGGACCTTGATCAAACGGCGAGAGCCGACGGCCTTGGCGTTGCCGAAGACGCGAGCCGAACGACGGAGGATTTCATAGGTGGTAGCGACGTCTTCGGGGAGGCGCGTGAACAGGCCATCCTTGGCAACGGGTAGTCGACGGGGGATCGTCTCGCCGGGCTTTGCTTCGACGCCGGGAACCTCGACGGAGAAGGGAGGCTTCTTCGCCATGCGCGGCTGTAGACGAGCTTCTTTGAGCGACATTTTGTGACGTTTAATATATTATACAGTCGTAAACGTGAGGGGGGATATTTGCGACGGCTAAACAAGTTGGTAGGTTAGTGAAGGGGTCTCTAGATCGGAGGGACGAAACCACAAAAGTGAAGAGGTCGAAACAAAGAGCTCAGTGACCAGGGATCCGAAAGAAAAGAAAGAGATCCAGTGGACTGGGGAAGCGGGGAAAAGTCAAACTCAAAAGAGGAACCACTTACGAGGTGTTGAGGTGAACTGGGGGGTCAACCAACGTTGCTCCGAAGGTTACCGTTAAAGTCAGGCAAGGTGGGAGCGGGGGGGGAAAGTTCCAAGAATCAAGGCAGACGGGAAGGGGAAATCGGAAAGATTTAAGAGGGAAAGGGGGAAGTGAAAAGGAGGAGAAAGTCTGGGGGAGAAGAGGGGAAGGGAAGGGGAGAGATGGAAGGGGAGAGAGAGGAAAGAGGAGGAGATGAAGCTGCGCCGGATGAAGTCAGTTCAGTCAGGCCAAGCACGTTAACCTGGTGAACTTAACCTAGGTACCGAGGCCTTCGTGGACCAGGTTTGGGTCTCATTGGTGGCTGGGTTAATTGCTCCGGATGCAGACTCGACTTCCTCGGTGGTATTCCAGTGCATTTACAGTGGCATTCTATCTGATTCAGAATGTGATCGATCATAGCGTTATGGACCACGTTCTGATTTAGCTAATGTGATTGTGGTTTCTGCATGTCTACGTAGCTATAGTACCTGAGGTTAAGTATCCGTAGCTCAACTGACCTCGATCTAACATGACAACAGCTCTTTGCATGCATCGATCCTGTGATCTACATGATCTGGTCATCAGATCAAAGAAGATAAAGAAGATAAAGATAGAGTGTGAACATAATAAGTTGCTCTATACTGTATATACAATTTGAAACCCAACATCACCATCAACCCCAGAAAAAACAGGGAAATATCCAGGCTAATGTTCCTGATTTTTTTTGTTGGGCCTGAGTCCCAACAGTTCGAGCTCCAATGCAGATCATCTGGGGGCCTCAGGCCACTAACGGCTATCCCGTTGCTAGCCAGTGGCCATTGTAGCCGACAGATAGTATGGAGACACATGAAAAAAACGAATCGATGAATGACTGAAACGGGAGCGGTCAGGAACAGCCTCCCATACTTGGGCATGCCTGCAGACCCTGACTGTTGTCAGACAAGCGGATTGTGACATGAATGATGAAGGAATAAAAATGAATGCAATGATGGGGTTCATTGATCTGGCCCACCCGAGCAGCTTCAAACACTGTCCAATCAGAGGAGCTCATCCGGGTCTCAGTGCTGACTAAGTGGATAGGGTTCAGAATTTGACTTTGATATCACAATCGACTGTTTAGCTAGTATCTGCTTCGTTGCTGGTTCATCTTTGCTGTTTTGTATCCATTGGTCTTGACCCTGAGACGTAGCTCTGATACAATTACTCTGACGTCATCGTCTACAGCCACATTGACACATCTCACACTTGGAGCCCAGTACAGCTCACTCTGTAGCTCACACGACTATCTCCATGTGGGGATCTAATCCCAGTCCTAACATCAAACTCTACTAGAGTTCCAAACTCTAAACTCTACCCTACCTTATCATACTAGGTATACTGAAGCGGAATCCACCATGGAAGACCTCACCAACTTCTTGACGTTCATTGGTCCAGAGGTAGAAGATGCCGACGAGGGTATGTACCGTAGACACCAACACCAACACCACATGTATACATGTATACCTCTAGAGAGCCCAGACTGAAAGACACTAGAGTCCTTCTTCCTCTTCTCCCAGGACATCCCCTCCTCCAACCTGGGCTTCGTCGACTCCCGCGCCCCGTCCCTCGACGTCTCCATCCACGGACAGGACTATGTCGTTCGTCAGTCTCCAACGCTGCTTTCTTCTTCTAGAGCGGGTGGGACAACCGGTGCCGGTATGTAATTCATTATCCTAGTATAGACGCCAGCAGATCAACAACAAAAAAA